CTCATTTCAGCTCAAACATTCATATTTCACTCCCTTTAATACTCTTAACTTTCATACACTTACTTAAACTAATTATTATCCATTCAATACCTCTAAAACTAAAAAAAACTAATCATCCATATAGAATTTAAGAATCTTATTCAAATTCCAACTTGTTCTAATTTTAATTCTATCACCTCATACTTCTTAATTAGCTTGATGACAAGTCAAATCCAGCTTCTAATTCTTATTCTAACCTTTAATCTAAGATTTCATTCAATGGCTCCCAACCTTTAATCTCCCTTAACTTACAATTCTTTGAGTTCTAGGATCCTTGTTTCTCTCCATCATATTTCCTAAATCTTCATTAACCAAACCCATGCTTAACTCATAAGAATTAATCCAAAAGAAGACAACTCACCTTTGCTTGCAAGCTTCACGGTTGGAGAAGAAGAAGAGAAATGTCTGGAACCTTGTTTATCTCAAATGCTTCCCACGTGATTTATAAAATCACCTTAAGGAATATTTAATTATTTCACTTACTAAATTACTCTTTTGCCCTCTTAATTTTCCTTCTTTATAATTCAATCCTACACCAAATAACTCAAATAGGTCATTGAACTCTTCCATCATTTTACTTAAATCACCAAATGTTGAAACTTTGCAAATTAATCACTAACCCGGCATGAAGGATGTTACACTACCAGTACCATTCTTCTCCCCAACCCACTTAAGAATAAATGCAGGCCCAGTAGGGATAATTTTCCTTACTGGTGAAAAATCAACCCCAATTTCATCTGATTGGGCTTTATCCTCTGATTCAAAAGTTTCCCTTAATCCCAGCCCCACGTGATTCCTGTTCTGGTTACTCATATTTTCCATAAAAACTGACAGCCCACAATTAGCAATTTCTTCAGTTGACTTACTCGATGGGACTTGTCCCCTACTGACTCCATTCACTCCACTATTCTGTTTATTATTCAGCCAAGATAAGACTTTATGCCTGGTTTCCTCTGATAACTCCTGATTAGTAGCTGCTGCCAGAGTAGGTCGCTGTCTATCTCCCTGCACAGACATGACATAATAACTGTGCAAAATTTTTGTAAATTTCTCCTCCGTCTTCCCCACCAATTCTTCTGGTTTTTTCAAAACAGAACCCAGGGATAACTTCACTTTGAACGATCTTCCATAAGAACCAATAGTGACCGTATCAGGGACATCGAATGGACTTTCCACTCTTAGCAGTACTTTTGCCACTGATAAATCCAATATGCTCTTTGAATCTTCATTAAAACAAATGAATTTTCCCCATTTCCCGGTAAGTTTTTCCATGAATGCCTCATTCCAGCACAATAAAGGCACTCCGAACATCTTTACTTGGCAAAGGGCCAATGGAACTCCATCATCATTCAGAACTGGAGCCAACCAATCAAAACATAAGCATAATTCTTCTTTCTTATTCTTCCATACGTATGTAAGCTCCTCTATCGTATTGAATGTAATGATGCAAGCATTCCACGCATAACCCCATTTCGATATCTCAACTCCCACTCCCTCGATCTTCAAAGCTTCCTTTATCGAATCTTGTTCATAGGAATGTTTCATTATCCCTGTTAATGATCGCTTAACCCACTCCGAATGGTTCCCCGGAATGTGCATCTCCCATACGTTCCTAACACCATTTGCATTCTGTTTTGCACCCTTCAGTTTTTCCCCTGAAACTTGTTTTCTTCTCGCATTAAGGCCATTATTCACAACATCCTTATAAGATCTTTCATCCCTCAAGCTTCTCACCGATACAAATTTCTTCTCGGTTTGTGTTTTTTCCTGTTTACCTGACTTGTTTCCCATCAACCTCTTCCCTTCAGCAGCTTCCTTCCTCATAGTCTTTTGATATTTAGCAATCCCTACTGAAATCCTTCTCCCATCAATCCACTTACCATGAGTATACTGAATTGCCTTCTTTCTACTTTCTTCATCAGTAAATTGGACAAATGCAAAGGTTGAAGACTTATAATTTGGTTTCTCTAAAAACGTGGGATAAAAATTCTCCTAATCTGACCATAAGGACTAAAAAGATCCCTTAATCCACCTCTCGTAACTCTCTTACTAAGATTATCAATGAACATAGTCCATTCCTCATCAGAGACATTGGACTTTTTCGAAAACTCTCTCTACCTCTCGCACTCATTCTTTGTTCTACTTAGCCACATTTGATTCTCACTCAGTCCAAATAACTACTATTAGGTTGAATGGAGAGAATTTTCTACGCTGGTCTCGGTCTGTGCATATGTATATTCGAGGAAGAAGGAAGATCGGATGCTTAACTGATGAGAAGGAACCAGACATGGATAACCCATCCTATTCTTCTTGGGATGCAGAAAACTCCATGGTACGACATGGCTAGTCACCTCCATGGAAGAAGACATAAATTCCAATTACATGTGTTATCACACAACTAAGGAACTTTGGGATAATTTAATTTTGATGTATTCAGATCTGGAAATCAGTCACATATATAAGATCATGATGGAACTAGGGGAAGTCCATCAAGGTGAAGATAGTGTCACCAAATATCTTAATTCTCTGAATCGCCGATGACAAGGTTTAGACTTGTTTAACTTTTTATGAATGGAAATCCACTGATTGCGATCATTACAAAAAAGGGTAGAAGATGATCACATTTTCAAATTCCTCGTGAGACTTAATGTAGAGTTTATGAAGTTAGGAGGCAAATCATTGGGGAGGTATTTGCTGAGGTTCGACGTGTGAGGAAAGTCACAGGCTGTTTACGTTGGGGGGAAAAGGCTCAAACAGCAGCACTGAAAATTCTGCACTAGCAGCAGCTAATTCATATGCAAGTAAAAGTGAAAAAACTAGATGAAAAACCCCGTGTTTGGTGTGACGACTGCAACAAACCAGATCATACACGTGAAACCTGCTGGAAACTTCATGGAAAACCAGCTAACTGGAAGGGAAAACATGAAGGCACAGTTCAGTCAGACTCCTGCAAATGAAGCTGAAGCTGTCCCTCTCACTACACAACAAGTTAATCAAACACTAAAGCTGCTCAAATCTAATTCTGGATCATCTGGTACTCCTAAATCCTAATACTTCCTTGGCACAAACAGGTAGAATTTTAAATGCCTTATTTTGTGTCTTTAACTGCTCCACGGATCATTGATTTTGGAGCATCTGACCATATGGCAAGTTATTCAAATTTATTTCATACTTATGTTCCTTGTTCTGATCATGAAAAAAAATTGTATAGCAGATGGTTCTCATACACCAATTGCTGGTAAAGGTACAATTATTTTGTTAAAAACCTTAACTCTTAAATCTGTCCTTCATGTTTCGAAGCTTGCATGCAATCTGTTATCTGTTAGTAAACTGTCCAAAGATTCCAATTGTCATGTTATTTTCTGCGACTCCCATTGTGTGTTTCAGGACCAGAATTTGGAGACGAAGATTGGCATTAATAGGATGATAGATGGGCTCTATCATTTTGAAGTTGAAGCCCCCAAAGATGAAAAAACTTATGGACTAAGTATTGTTAGTTCTATCTCTATTAAAGATAAAATAATGTAATGGCTGAGAAATATGTTTTTATTGGTTATACATCACATAAGAAGGGGTATAAGGTTTTTAACCTCAGAATAAAAAGGTCATAATTTCTATGGACGTTATCTTTCTTGAAAATCAGCCTTATTTCAAAAGGAATTTTCTTCAGCGGAGCAATTAGAGGAAGAAAATAAACAGGACGGCATTTTTTACCCAAACTTGTGGCTTCTACGCCAGATCTTTCTTGAAGATAAAACTTATATTTTGTCAAACAATATTGAATCTATGATAGAGAGAGAAACACTACCAACAAATCCAAATAATAAGGAACTTGAGGTTCTTGTTTATGCAAGGAGAAAGGATCACAAAAAGGGTAGAGAACCCATCATCTCTTCAGCACCTAGTCAATCCACTCCGAATTTAGGTACTCAAAATCCTACACAAAATATTGATTCTTCAAATAATCCTCGAAATTCGCATGTATATTGTGATATTGATATTCCTATCGCAATTAGGTAAGGAACCCGTTCATGTACTAATCATCCAATTGCAAATTATTTATCTTATAACAAACTCTCGAAGAGTCATATGACATTTGTGTCAAAAATCTCAAATCTGTTTATTCCAAGAAATGGGTGGATGAAAGTAATGGAAGAAATGGGGGTGTTGAAAAGGAACGAGACATGGGAAGTGGAAGAACTCTCAACTCCATAAAGATCAGAAAGTTGTCCGCTGCAAATGGGGTTTTAGTGTAAAATGCAAAGCAGTTGGCAGTTTGGAGAGATACAAGGCTAGGCTTGTGGTTAAAGGGTTCACTCAAACTTATGGTATCGATTACCATGAAACCTTCACTCCAGTAGCCAAAATTAACTCCATACATGTTTTATTGTCTCTTGCGGTTAATTTCATCTGCCACTACAACTAGATGTGAAACATGCCTTCCTCAGTGGTGATTTGGAAGAGGAAGTTTTCATGAGTCCAGGTGGCAAAAACAAGATTGCACTCAAGCAATCCCCAAGAGCATGGTTTGAACGATTCGGAAAAACATACAATCAAAGTCAAGCAGACCACACCATGTTTTATAAACGTTCTAAGGAAGGTAAAACAACAGTGCTGATTGTGTATGTTGATGATATGATTTTAACTGGGGATGATGGGGACGAATTAGCTAGCTTAAAGAAAAAATTAAGTCAAGATTTTGAGATTAAATAACTAGGGGGATTAAAGTATTTTCTAGGCATGGAGTTTGCAAGATCATGAGAAGGAATTTCTGCGAATCAAAGAAAATATATCCTTGACCTACTAAATGAAATGAAACATGTCTTCTAGGTTGCAAAGCAGCTGAAACTCCACTGTAGGTAAATCTCAAATCAAATCCTACAAAACTAGAGGACATAATTGAGGCAAGGTTTCAACGTTTAGTAGGCAGACTTATATATTTGTCACACACTAGTCCCAATATGGCATTTGCAGTAAACATGATTAGTCAGTTTATGCACTCACCGGGCCAAGAACACTTTGAAGTTGCCTACAGGACACTTAGATATCTAAAGGGAACACCTGGAAAAGGACGGATTAAAAAATTTGGTCATCTGCAAGCAGAAGTCTATACTGATGCTGATTGTGCAGGTAGCACTACAGACAGAAGGTCAACATCAAAATACTGCACTTATATTGGAGGAAATCTTGTTTCTTGGAGGAGCAAAAAAAAAAGTGTTGTAGCACATAGCAGTGCTGAAGCTGAATTCAGATCCCTTGCACATGGAATTTGTGAAGCAATATGGATTAAAAGGTTACTATAAGATTTGAAAAAACCTATTTCTTTCCCCCACGAAGGTCTATTGTGACAACAAAGCTGCTAGTTCCGTTGCGCATAATCCAGTTCATCACGACCAGACTAAGCATATTGAAGTTGACGACGAACACTTCATCAAAGAGAAGTCTGAAAGTGGACAAATCTGTAGTCCTTATATTCCTACTTCCCAACAAATAGCTGATATTTTTACTAAAGGACTGTTGAAAAGGCATTTGATTTTCTGGCAAGCAAGCAGTCAATAGGAGATATTTTTCAGCTAGCTTGAGGGGGAGTGTTGGAACAGGAAATAATGACCTAGCTGTAAATATAGGAATTCTAGGCGACATTGAAGGAGATTAGAAAGATTAGGCAAATCACTATCAGATTTCTTGTATAGCTGTAAATTCCTGTAATTATGCTTTTTGTTTATTTAGGTGACATTTGTATCTATATGTACAATATAATCCATGAACTAAGTTGTAATAAGAGCTACACTTTCTATTTGTTTTTTCAACAACAGAAGGAAAAACTCATTTACCCTTAATTTCTGGCCTAAATGACTTGTAAATGAGTAAATATGACTTACTTTGGGAGCTTTTTGATCTAGTAGTTTCCAAGAACAAACTTTCTCACTTGTTCTATCAAGTCTACACATCAAGGGGAGTGTTAAATAGTGTAATGTCCCAAATAAACTAGGTTTAGGCATCTTGTAGTATTCATATCCAGATTGGTCCTCACTGCCAAGTAGTTTTTAGGTCGCAATGCTTGAATTGCATTTTCCTTTCAGGCATTTTGGCCCACCTTGAACCAAGGCAAACTCGAGCCTTACATTTTTTCCCTTAAATATGCAGATTGCATGCTTTAACAGCCCATCGCAAGAGCTTTAGAATGGTCTAGAGTTCAAAATGCCTATAACATAAAGTTGGAAGAAGCTAGCTAGTACTTACCTTCTGGTATAAAACAGATAAACTGTTAAATTCATCAAATATCCGATCTTTAATTTCACTGCTTTGAGTATCAGCAAAAACAGAAACAGCTTGCTTTGGAGGGTTCACCACACGTTCAGCCACAGATACATTATACCATAAAATCCGTTAGTAGAAGAGTGCTCTGTCATGAACATCCTGCAGTAATGGTGGAGGTTCAAATATTGTTTCCAGAAAACAACTGGACAACTCAAACAGTACTATTGATATAAGAGTGGGGGAAAAGAAGGCAAAAAAAAAAAAAACTCATACCTGGTGGAAATCAGCAACACCTGCAGCCAATGCAGCTCCCAATGCACTTTGGATCTCAGGAGGCCTTTTAAAAAAGCACTTCATCACAGCAGTGAGAAGATGTGAACGAACCTATACAATGGCATAATTCATCAACCAAGAAAATGAAGTAATTCATAACACAGATCTTTTAATTCATAACACAGATCTTTGAATCCAGCTTCCAGAAATTCAGTATAAAAAAGAGGCTCAAATTCTACCATCAATAGGAAACTTAACAAATACTTTATCTACAATAACAAGACTGAAGCAGTGCCCTTGTTTGTGGAATAAGATGAGAGACAAAACAGCTAGGATGGATAGGAATGAACAGGGGAGGGGGTTATACATACGGAACGTGTTAAGTAAACGCAATTATTTTATGAGATCAAGTACCTAATATGATTAATCTTGTTAATTTAATCAAATATACACATGTGCAGCATCGGATATCCAGTAAAAACGACATGAATGAAAACCTCAGAGGAGCAACAAAGTTTGGGGAATGGAGAAAGTATGCAACAATAGATGCCGCTGAAAATAGAATCAACTGGCTCAACAACCTCTTTCCATTTTCACAAGAGAAATTCAGGAAGTAAAAACTATAATCTGAAATGGCTGAGAGAAAAAAAGAACATGGCTCAACATGGAATCATTGGAATATCCATGAAGGTTGCTTACCACAGCAGAATGCTCCTCATCCCAGTTTTCAACTAAACTCTCCAAAATATATGGAGCATCTTGCATATCCTGAGAATATTCCCCCAACATCCATATAAGAGCTGCTTTGGCTTTTGTTTCCTGTACATTTTTGCTGCTTATATTCCCAACCACTGCAATGCAATCTTGGCTCCACTGAGGATATTTTCTAAGAAGATCTTTCACAAGCACCTACATAAAATTACCCAAAAATAGAATAATGTTATTATTAACAGGCCATCATCCAGTAGGAACATAAATATTTACTTACCAGAGCTTCAGCAGTCACGTAGTCTTTATCCATTTCAAGAAATTGAAGAAGCCTATCAACAATTGCATTAACATCATACTGCTGCAGCGCTATTTTACCCACAGCTCTTATTGACTCTCGGGCAATTGGAATATCAACATTTGCAGCATACTCACATAATTCAGTAACTGAAATTTAGTCAATAAGGTTATATATCAGAATACTTGAGAGGGAGCATTGAAAATTTACCGATGTCATCTTTTCCAGAGGCCCTAGAAAGAAATTACGGCTGTCTGCGTACCAATCTCATAGGTATTACTCTCATTTGCTACTGCAGTCAGCATTTCAAGCTTCAATCTTTTGAAATAAGATGGTTCATTATACTGACAATAGAAGTGTTTGTAGTCTGAGGAAAATACATAAGGTGCTCGCATAACCAAGAGATGCAGATGACTTAAAACTGCATATGACTGTTCTGGGCTTCCTGAACTAACAAGGGTCAACAGTGGTGCTTTTATACGCTCATACACCTGCACATACAAGGATTTCATTAGCAAACTCCCGATCCCATAAACAAGACCCTGACCACTGATATAATTCATCTATGAGATCTAATCAAATATAGTGTAATAACAATGCCATGTATGATGATTCAGGGTCAAAGAAATATGGCCAGATTCTTCTTGTTGACAGGAACAAATAACTTAAGGGCTTAATTACAAGCTTGATACAGTTTTAGAGACTAAAAAGGAGAAGATGATGGATAACAAATAAAAAGCATGAACCGCAAGATCAGAAGTAACTGAAAAGCACCTCCTTGACTGTACAGATGCAGCAAGATGGCTTTATCGTAGTAGAAATTTAACAACTTCAGAGTATTGAATTAAAGAGTAAGATAAAAAGAACCTGTTGGTGAACATCAGTCATGGACAAGGTTAACTGTAAAAACACTTTGACAGTGGCTAAGACAACAGCCCCATTTGCATGCTGAAGTCTATCTTCAAGGAGATTCATAATGTCAAAAATCTCACTGCTGTCTGATGGCACATATTTAGTTACCAACTCAAGCACAAGGCACTGTGCCCATTCACTGAACTCCTTGATCCTACACGTAAAAACCCATTTAAAAGCATTCAATTAAAATAACATCATAGCAGTTAGAATTACTTATACGGCAAGACAACTGACAGTATAATAGCCACAAGATTGTAAGAATTGAACTTTCTCATTGATTCTTCAATTTTATCGACAGAACATACCGATTCAATAGGTAATATATAACTGGCTTGCTAATCAAAGCTTCCCTTTCCCTCGGTGCCTCTTCAGACCTGCTAGCTTCCGCACTCCAAATCTCTTGTAATGAAGACAAACAGTTTGCAACGACCTAATGAAAGAAATATCTCATTAAGCTGCAAGCTAATTCCTAAAAAATAAAATAAAATGTTCGAAAATCAACTCAAGCTTTATAACTAGCTCTCACTTGAGTATCTGAGTCATTGAGCATCAAATGCTTCAACATCGAAGGAAAATCTGCATCAATACAAGTCGAAGCTGAGATATGATAAAGCTTCAAAACTCCAATGACCGCCACCATTCTCACATAACAATTACTATCTTTCAATCCTGAACCTAATGGCCCCACCAAATACTCCACCAGATTTGCGACTCGTAATGAACACAAACTCCGCAAGGCTAGTCCTCGGATCATTGGATCTTGGTCGTTGCAATCCCTTTGGAGGAAATTGATGGTCAAGAGAGCGAGATCGGGGTTGACTTTGGCATAATTACCGACGTAGAGATAACACATTTTCTTCAAAACAATGTCGGATGTGGCTGAGCACATCACCATCTCGCCGAAAAGAGAGGACACGTCGATTCCAATTGTCATATAGGAGATCACTTTTTTGAAAAGCTCTCGCTTCGAGTCGTCCACCCCCGGTGCTCGGCTTCCCGCAAGTTGCCGGAGCTGGAGTTTCAAATCGGAGACTTCACTTTTACTATTAGCAATAATAAGAACGCTTAATTAGAGTTTCGTAAAAAATAGGTGAAGAACTAAATCAGATTTCGAACAAATAAAAAACAATCAAACAAAAAACACTGAGTACAAATTGCAGCTAAAATTGAAGCCTTGGAGTACGTGGATAAGGGGAAATGCTATAGATACCCGGAAGGTTGAGACGGCGACGGTGACCGTTGAGACTGAGCCGGAGGCGCCATGGATGGTGGCTAACTGATTCCGATGCCAATTTTAAAGAAGAACTGTCAAAGCAGCAAACAGATCGGCCGTGTAAGAGGACAAAACGTGGTTTGAGATCGAAGTTAAGGAGATGATGTAATTAACGTCGTTGACAAGTTTAAGATGTCTCATTCTGTTAGAACAAACGGCACCGTTTGACGAGATTGCATATGTTATACAATGTCTTAATTGCACCCGACGACCTAAACTATGACTCTGATTTCAAATCAATCTTCACACTCTATAACATTCTTATAAGATCCTTACAATATAGTTATTATATAGTTGTTAATTAGGCCAATATATGAAGTAGATATATGGATACTAAATTTAATGTGTGTATATTTATTAAATAAAAATTTTGGACCTGATGTGTTAAAAGACATAATTTTAAGGAATGATTTTTCATCTAAGCCTAAAACATACATTTCACACCTTAAGGGCAAACATAGCTTTAAGTTTATACAATAAAATTAAAATGAAAAAAAATTATCTAAAAACCTAAAACTAATTTAATTAATTGTTAATAGAACCATAACTAAGATGAGACAAATCATAAATTATTTGAGTTCAATTCGAATTAAAGTTTGATCAATATTTAATTCGAATTGATTTCACTTGAATTTTTAGCAAGCCAAAACAAACTACTTGATACTTAACTCGAAAAGTAAACGAGCAACTAAAAAGATAATATATTAAAATTTTAATTTTTTTAAAATTAAATTATTAATAATATTAATATTTATATATTAATACTTTAAAAAAATTGAGTTCACATTTTTTTTGAACTCAAATCAAGCTTTAATTTTTTATTTCAAATTCAAATCGAACTTAATAATTTTAAACTTGTAAACTTTTAAATTAAATTGAACTCAACTTTAAAATTTTTTAAGTCAAATCGAACTCAACAATAGTCAAGCTCAACTAGTTTCGTCTAAATCCCTATCAATCAGACATGGAAGGAATTGTCGTAAAAGCGAGAATCAACAGTCGATCCAGATTTTATCCACGATTCTGCCACTGACTCAACAATGTCAAAAGGAAGTCTTCGAAAGCACCGTCAGAGTTTAGCAATAACACTGATAAATAGCCAACCGCCAAAAGCATCTTAGTGGGATCGCCGACACGGACGGGAACATTATCATCGAACTCGTTGGCGAAGGTTTTGCACTTTTATGTTTCGTCGATCGAATGCGATTATAACATCAACCAGCACACTGAACACATCGTGTCACCGGTCGAGTGATCGAAAGCAGCCTTTGTATTCCGCTTGGAACAAAATGTATATGCCCTAGATACTCAATTCAGCTAGGTTGAGACTAAGAGTGTTTATTGAACAAGTCAATCACAAGTTGAACAATACTCGACTCAAACTCAAAAACATTCAACTTATATTTAATTGGACTTGATACTCAATAAACCCATTAAAATTTTACAAGATTGATGCTCGTTAGAAAAACACGTTGCTCAACTCGAGTCGTTACTCGCTAATATTTTAAACTTTAAAACAACAATCCACAAACACATTAAACTAACATTTATAATAAAAGTAATAATCCATAATTACACTGAACTAACATATTAAGTCATCCTAAAATAAGAAATTAGCAATCCATAATCAATTCTATAAGTAAGGCAAATAGCATTCTAAACAATTATAAAATCACCCATTATCTGCTGGTGAATTTATAGAGTAAAGTTAAGCTTACTCGACTCGATTTGTTAAGGTCTCAACTCGATTTCAAATCAAGTCAACCAGATAGAATGTTGATCAAATTTTGACCAAGTTGAGTTTCAACTACTCGCATACTGTTAAACTCAGTTAGCACTTAGCACCCCTAATCGAGACAACATTTTCAAACTAAATCAGGGTGCGCAAAATCATAATAGTAACAATTTCAGAAAAATTAAACAAGATCATCCAGATTCAAATTCCAAATATTAGATAAACAAAATCAAAACAATTACCAAGTATTATCAACAACCAATAGTTTCCAATATCCACGGCCACATTAAAATGTCTAGAAATAAACTTGTCTAAAAGCAGAAACGTTGCTTGAATATAAATAAACCCATAGAACTTAGAACCCTAAGTAAAAATCGAAACAACCCATCAATTAATATTCTGAAAATAGCTAACAAATTAAACGAAAACGAAAACTAGTGAATAGATATACGCAAAATTTGCAGAAATGTGCAGACCTGGTGGTGTTGTCGGTGCGCATGCGGATCCAGTATGGGATAGGCCTGTTCTGCCTCATCTTCTTGGCTAGCTTCTTCTTGATCATGAAAGTCTTATGTGAAGGCTGCCATTTGGAAAGAAAAGAAACCATTCAAAACATCCAAGAGCCATCCTTTAAAACTAAAATTTCTTCAGAGACAATCAACCTTTCTGAATAATGGGGAAAAGAAAAGAACAAAAGAAATTCATGGTTAAAGAAGAAGAGAGAGGAAGCAGGTTGATTACCATGGTTGGCGTGGCGTTTGAGAATTAGATCTCTGAACTTCGAATAGCTGTTTTGGACAAGGGGTGAGTTGGAACAGGTAGTTTCATTGTCTGATCTCCAACAGTTGATCTACTTGTTAACCTGCTTCATCAATGAACATAGGGACCGACGGCCATGTTTGTGCTTCATCTGTTTTCTGAACTGAGTCATTGGAGTCGTCCAGATGTAGTTGTTTGATTCGCTGTTTTGAACAATTTATCAGGGACTTGCTATAGCCGAGATGTTTCATTAAATATATGGTTCTTGGTGTAGAATTTTACAAAGTTGTGCTATGTAGAAATTATCAAACATCTCTAATCTATAACTATTTATAAAAAGAGAATACATGGAGTACTGTGGATGTTTTATATTTAAGGGTTGACACATGGGTTTTCATTTGTTCATTTTTGGTGGGCTAAGGGAGAGGGGGAAAATACATGTTTTGTATATGTATTATATTTAAGAAAAATAATTATGCATCGATTGGATTTTGAGGTTCTCGTGTATCATATTTAGAGATTAAGGGTGTGTTTGGTTCACGGAATGTAAGATTACTAGTGGGAATGTAAGATTACCAGGGAATATGATTACTGGGAATGTTACATTACTGTGTTTGGTTTGTTTGGCATGAATGTATGATTACAGTGTTTGGTTGAAGGAATATGAGATTACTAGAATGTATATTTTACTAAATTGTCCTTGTGCTATATGTGTTAACAAGTGGAATTCTAAATATTTAAATTAAAATATTCATATAAAAAAGCATAAAAATATATTACTTTATTATTTTAAATTTATATACTTTTTAATAAAATTTATATATAATTTTTTTATAAAATTTAAAAGATAAATGGGTAGAATAAAAGAGTAAATATATAATGTATTATTTAATTATAAATAATATTATTTTTTACATTAATTATCTAAAAATATATTAAAATTTTACATCATGATTTAACTAAATAAGCATATGAAAATTTTAATAGATGAACCATTTTACTCCTAAAGATAACAAAAGCTAAATTTTATAATTTAAACATTTTTTAAAATCAGAACAAAAGCTAAAATTTATATTTATTCATTCAATAATTTCAGCATTTTATTTTGAAGTTCTTGATTGAGGTTGTTATTATTATTCTCCCCTAGAGTGGTCTTCATTGTTGTTTAAAATTTGCTCTAGTTTGTGGTGTCGCAGAGTGGATTTGGAATTCCCGAAGATTGAAGTTCGATTCGAAAATTTGACTGTTGAATCTTTTGTCCATGTTTGGAGCAGGGCATTAGCAACCATTCCCAATTTTATTTTTAACATTGCCGAGGTAATAATTAATCTCTTTTTTACGAATGCCCTGCTATCCCAATATAGTAAAACAATTTACACCAGGCTTACATGGAATAAGGATCAACCCGGTATAAATAATTAAATTGAGAAGTAAATAGGTGTTCGGAACATAATTAAGGGATAGTCTTATCTTGTCCACTTAGTTATTCTAACATTGAACAGAAATATCTTACAAGTATGGAGTTAAACTTCCCATGGAAGCTTCAAACTTTTATAAAATACCCCATAACTCAGCATCCAATATCGAGCAGCAACCTATTGACTTTGCAAGACCATTTTTATTACAACACAACAGATTCATTATATTTTGTAGACAGGGCTAGATGAACACAAAACATGTGGTATTCTGGATACCCATTACGATGCAACATTTATGAGAAACACTGGGAAGCAACAACAATGTTCTAAAGTCAAAATGAAAAGTAAAAGTGCAAACTGAAGGATAAGAGATAAGCTTACGTTCTTTGTTTAGCTTACAGAACAAAAATAAGTATAACATTAACCATCAAAAGCAACAACAATGTTCAGACTTACAAAAGATAATAGCCATGACATTCTAAACTTAATCATATATGTTGGCTATATTATATACACAAAAAACTCTTCAGTGAAAGAGCATTAAGAAATTCCTTAAAGGAGGGCAACAACCGATGCAACAATGATGTGCCAACAATTGAGTTTGACTTTAAAGAAGCTCTCATTTTTTATACAGTAATTTCTTGAGATCTACAACGGTTTCTCTAAGAATCTTAAGAACTTCAACACCTTTTGAAGTAATTACATATTCTTCAACAAACTTATAAAGTATAGAAGAAAAAGCATTATAGATTTTTGTGACGTGCTTGTCTCTTCATATGCGAACTTCACAAGCAGATGAACTCAGAGAGTCAGTCCCAAATTCTGATCTTGCAATGCGCCATTGCTTATCCCCACTTTGCCTCCCATGTAAAGAGATCAGAGCATCATCAGTAGAAAGTAAATCTCTGTATAGAGCTTCCCTTTCAATTCTGTCACGGTCTTCCAATACTGAAAGAATTTGAGATGTAAAGTTACTTCGGCATTCTTTGGTCATTGAAGTGAGAGCAGACACCAGAGAGGACTCTCTGGTAATGGTTCGTCGAGACAAAACCTAAAAAAATGGTAATGAACAAAAAGATGAGTTTGGGGAAGGGAATCATGTTTCTTCATAACAATGCATAGATAAACAATACTAAGAATAAGAAGAAATAAGCATTAGAGGCAATAAAGTGCTATTTTTTATCATAATTACTTCATTCCAATTCTGTGTGTAACATTTAGTGACATCATAAACTCCATCTTCTGCAATAGCAATTACATAATTTAATTTCTTTTTCCATTTGTAGAAAAGAAGCATTTACTATAACTGTAGTATCAAAACAAAAAAAAAAGATTTTTTTCCTGAAAAATGGATAATAACACAAATTAGAGTACCCTTTTTCATATAATAGCGGTATGTCATAGATTGCTTCACAAGGATCAAGATGCATCCACCTGTACAAAAATGAATGAATAATTAATTTGTGAAATGACCACATAGTTTAGCCTCTTTGCTACATAATAGGGATCCTTCCCAATTGAAGATTAAAAGGCATCAATTTGGGGTTTTTTTACCTTCTCAGGGCTTCTGAATAGCACTCTGTCCAAACATGGTCTATAAAATCAAGGACCTGAAAACGAAGAGTTGGTGCAAATAAAACATCATCTCAAGCAAGCAAATTATCCGAAGTCCCATGGAATGTCATCTTTAAACAGCTAGAGCTAATTAAAATATATGCAACTATGCACGCATTTGCTGTTGAAGTACACAATTCTAGATACATTTCGTGCCACCATAAATATTGATTTCATATATTGCAAAATCAATAACTTCAATTTATACATGTAACACCCTTAACCCGTATATGTCTCAATATACTAGTCAAAGATGTCACATCAAACTGAAAACATTTAGTTTACTGAAATTTATGTAAAAATTTGTTTCTTTGAAATTACTCTTGTTCTAACTTTAAAAAAATCTATTTTAAAGTATATTTCAGATTATAATTTCTTTCTTTATTACAGGAAAATAAATTCATTATTTATTCAGTAATTTTACTAAACCATGTCTTTTCATAAAACCTTTTAAAAACATAATAATGTAATAAATTATTGTCATGCATAGTTACCAATAAAACTAAACTAAGTAAAATAAACTAAAATAGTTCTAGTTTACTATTACAATTTATTTAAAATAAATACGATAATTAGAAACTATTGACATAATTATACATGCCACTATAAGTCAAAAGAAACATCATAGATGTCTTACTGATACTGATGATATGTATGTCTTTCCAAAAGATGCTCTGATAGCTCCTTACTGATCGTACTTATCCTTATTAGAACCTACGCATGAAAATCATCACGCGCTAAGTATAACTTAGTGAGGCAGTAATAATCTAGGGTGAGTAAAATCTGAAATTTATCATAAACGTAAATAAAATAATTCAACTTAAAACATTAAACTGACAAACCAACTTATCCAAGTCGATTTCTTCACTGAAACCTGAAATTTCTTTTTAAATCATGAACTCATGAAAATTCTGATAAATCATATCTAATAAAATAAGCACATCATGCTTTCTGTCAACTGAAAATCATTCACAACTTGCATATTCATTTTCATAGCCCAATGCATATTTATAAGAACATAAGATACGCGAGTAAGGTGTGCACTATGCACAACATGATGTAAATCATAACTGATATTGAGATATGATGCACTTCAGTGCCATCATAACCTGAATAAGCACCAACGGTGCTGGACATTGATACACGAATGTACCAAAGCTGATAGGATAACATTGATACACGAATGTACCAAAGCTGATATGATAACATTGATACATGAATGTACCAAAGCTGATAATACTCAACTAATGGCATGCCAAGTGTACCCATAATTCTCATTATACATACAATGGGCTCATGTGTCATAATTAAATCCATAATCAAAATATCATGCTTGGACAGTTCATACCCTAAATCATTCATAAAACTGATATAAAATATTATAAAAATAATCTTTATAAACTTTATAAATCATACTGTAAATTGGAATGAGGTTGACTTATCGCAAGTCGTCCTCGATCAAAATAATTAAATAAATAACTGCACTCACCTTTGCCTCACTACAGAACTTGTATATAATAATCCTAGTCACGAGCTTTGTCCTTTCCTTTCGAACCGTTCGGATTGCTAGATTTAACGTAGTCTGACAATACCAAATTATAACACAAAAATTGTTCGAACTACATATTAGTATCGTACTAATATAAGCTCGTTTTAACATTTGAAAATCTATATAATAAAATCGATAACAACCAAACTCATAACTCCATTATAACTTCAAACTTATCGAAACACTTATTCAATTCCATAAATAATTATTTTCAGCATAATTCTTCAACTTTTACGAATTATAAAATCTAACCACATATTTTAAATTCTTCCTACTATTCAACTCAACTTTTCCTTTAATTCATAATGGTCCTTCACCATTATGATAATTGTACATTAATTACTAAAGTTCCAACACTTGAATAAAATAACCAAATAATACTTCTTCATTTAAGAACTTGCAAACAAGTCCCCAAAGTTTTGGAACCTTTCGAATTCCACCATCTAACCATTAAAATGAATTCTTTTAGAATTCTTCTCAACATTCCCAATTTATTCAAAATGGTCTCTTGCCATTTAACTTAAATTCCAAGTATAAAAAAATATACTCAACATTTAAACATTACTCTTCATCTTCTACTTCATTTCAACTTAAATTCTAAAATTTCCATATTCAAACAACTTGCACTACCTTTAAATAATCAGTATTCTGTGTTGATATACACACTGGAATTTAATTCCGTTTCTTCCATTGAAAACTAGACTCGAATAAAAATCTATCCATATAAATAACTCCTTCTAATTCATTCTGTACAATTTATGGTGAATTTTCAAAGTTGGCCAACAGAATCTGTTTTGTGCAGAATATACTGCCCGTTTTTCTGACATTTCCTCAGTTAAAAATTCATATCTTTTTTTATACACATTGAAATTGATCTCCGTTTATTTTAAACAAAACTAGATTGATATATGAACATAATATATAAAAATCACCTCCAAATAATTTTTATAGAATTTCTGGTGAATTTTCAAACTCACTGCCAAATTCGAATATCTAAACTGTTTTCATTAATTTGCATCATTGGTTCTTCTTCAATTCTTACAACACTTCTAATATCAAGAATTGATCTTAAATCATAAAAATCACACTTCCCCTTCATCCACCATAAATACTCATTTTCACATTTAAGCATGAAACCAATAAATAATTATACCATCTTGTAGAGAAAATAGGATAGAACAATTTCCTATTTCACAATTTAATCCCAAAACTCACCAAATTTGATCAAAAATAGAAGAAAACAAATTGACTCACCTTGTCTATGGGTTTCAGCAGCTAGTTGGAGAAGAGAGAAGAGTTTCACGATGGTTCTCAAAAAAATATCTCTAATTATTAACCTTTAAAACTAATTAAATGATTTTTTATTCCTTTTTGGACCAAATACCAAAATTGCCCTTAATAAATCTTGAAAATTACCAAATGCCATTGTATTATCTTCTTTTAAAATATTCCTTGGTCAAAGATGATACAACTTGACTTTGACTTTCGAAATTGACCATGCAAATTTCAAAAATTGCATTTTAGTCACTAAAATTCCATTTGTTTGGTCAAATCTGAAAAATTGCACTGTTCTGAGCCAAATTTCTCTGATCAAAAATATGAAAATAATATTTCCAACCATTTTATAACATTCTTCAAATTTTCATAAAATTCCGGTTCGTTCCGATTATCTGATTTCAATACCGAAATTTACTGCTTTATAACTTTTATCACAATTCCCGTACCAAAAATATGATCCCCACTAAAATCTCTGTTTAATCCAAACTTTTCATTTACAGGCATAAAATATATATAACTTTTAAAAATTACAAATTTTGGGTCCTAAACTTTTCAAAGTTTATACTTTAGCTACTATACTTTCAAAACTTACATTTTAGTCACTGGTCAAAATTTGGGGTATTACAATTCCTCCCCCCTTAAATAAAATTCGTCCTCGAATTTTCCATATGTATTTACATACCTGAATTAAATAGATGAGGAAACTTTTTCTTCATGTCTTCTTCTCGTTCCCAAGTTGCTTCCTCAACTTTATGGTTCCGCCAAAGAACATTTACTAATGTAATCGTCTTATTTCTTAGTTCTTTGACTTCATGTGCTAAAATCTTTACTGGTTCCTCTTCATATGATAAATCTGGCTGAATCTCAATTTCCTCCCGTGTAACTACATGTGAAGAATCTGATCGATATCTTCGAAGCATCGATACATGAAATACATTATGAATCTTGTCCATCTCTGGAGGTAACGCCAACTGATAAGCTACTGGTCCAACTCTCTTTACAATCTCGTATGGCCCGATAAATCTTGGACTCAATTTCGCTTTTCGTCCAAATCTCAGAATCTTTTTCCAAGGTGACACCTTAAGAAATACCTTATCACCCACTTGATATTCAATCTCTTTTCTTTTTAAATCATCATAAGATTTCTGTCTATCAGCTGCTATCTTAAGATTGTCTTGGATTACTTTCACTTTGTCTTCCATCTCCTTAATTAGATCTGGACCAATTATATCTCGATCTTTTAATTCGTACCAATTCAGTGGTGTTTTGGTGCAAATAAAACATCATCTCAAGCAAGCAAATTATCCAAAGTCCCATGGAATGTCATCTTTAAACAGCTAGAGCTAATTAAAATGTATGCAACTATGCACGCATTTGCTGTTGAAGTACACAATTCTAGATACATTTCGTGCCACCATAAATATTGATTTCATATATTGCAAAATCAATAACTTCAATTTATACATGTAACACCCTTAACCCGTATATGTCTCAATATACTAGTCAAAGATGTCACATCAAACTGAAAACATTTACTTTACTGAAATTTATGTAAAAATTTGTTTCTTTGAAATTGCTCTTGTTCTAACTTTAAAAAAATATATTTTAAAGTATATTTCAGATTATAATTTCTTTCTTTATTACAGGAAAATAAATTCATTATTTATTCAGTAATTTTACTAAACCATGTCTTTTCATAAAACCTTTTAAAAACATAATAATGTAATAAATTATTGTCATGCATAGTTACCAATAAAACTAAACTAAGTAAAATAAACTAAAATAGTTCTAGTTTACTATTACAATTTATTTAAAATAAATACGATAATTAGAAACTATTGACATAATTATATATGCCACTATAAGTCAAAAGAAACATCATAGATGTCTTACTGATACTGATGATATGTATGTCTTTCCAAAAGATGCTCTGATAGCTCCTTACTGATCGTACTTATCCTTATTAGAACCTACGCATGAAAATCATCACGCGCTAAGTATAACTTAGTGAGGCAGTAATAATCTAGGGTGAGTAAAATCTGAAATTTATCATAAACGTAAATAAAATAATTCAACTTAAAACATTAAACTGACAAACCAACTTATCCAAGTCGATTTCTTCACTGAAACCTGAAATTTCTTTTTAAATCATGAACTCATGAAAATTCT